TGCTTTCAGCCCAATCCCAGCCATGAACTCTGCAGGTAGGGTTCCTAAAACGATTCCTGTAGGAGTCGATGGGAGGAACTGGGGAGAGCCTAATGGTTCAGGAGCTGATGGTTTAAAGCCAATGGCTAGCTAGCCTGAGCCTACTTCACTGGCTGAAGTATGTTTTCCACATATATCAAGGTGCTCCAAGGATGCAGCTGCTGAAGGCCCTTCCTCTCTATTTGACTGCTTTTGCCTCCCAGAAAGAAGAATAACCCAGCCTAGTGAAGGTGTTTGTGGGAAGGCATATGATAAGGCTGCTTGTACACTCTTGGGGTTTCGATAGGCCCAGATTCAAAACGGGCCATCTGGTTCTCGACCCCTGTTCCCTTCCCTTTTGTTAGATGCAAGGGGCAGAGCCTCAGAAGTGACTCCCATCCCACTTTCCCCTTTGCTCAGTGCCCAGAAGCAGCCTCCTTTCTCTTTACACCATAAAGTGGAGAAGCAGCCCTGTGCCATCGGACGTGTGCCTGCATTCCAAAGTGACGACGCAACTCATATCTCAATATGCATGACAGACCAGCACAAAATGGCCTTTCCCCCCCTTTTCTTCTCCAGTGGCCTTCTTGAACCAAAAAATAACCAACCTTTCACCACCAGAAGAAGGCGGCGTTGGGAGCAAGATACACTCACCATTTGTATTTTGTATTGTTTTCTTTTGCATGGTGCATGGTGCATACCTAGAGTTTCTCACTCAAACAGTTTCTTAACCTGCCTGGACGGAGAAGAGCAGACTGCTGGGGCTTCCCATTTTGTAGTGGTAGATCCTTTCCCATCTGTGCTGTGAGGCGGCCACCTGCTCACCAGTATTTAGCTTCTGCCCATTAGTCTCTATAACCGTTATAGTGCTGGGCTGCTTTAAGTATTGAGAATTCACCTTGAGTGGCATCAAAAACATTCCTGTCTGGTTATAATTTGCTTGTGGCTGTGATTAGTCATCAGTACATATTTGATAGCAGAGAATTCCCTTGTGTATTGCCTGACATCTTTCCAAGTGAACCATCTTGCTGTCAATCCAAACTCTAGTGCATCTTCTTTTCCTCCTCTTTGGTCTGTTCATAATAACAACTTTTGATGTAACAAACTCTTTTGACTGTTTTTTAGACAGTGGGGATAAATAATAATATTCTTTTTCCCATGAGTTTTTTTTTTTTTTTGTGAATGACTTTTGACCGCACAATCTCATGTTACAAACCAAGTTGGGTTTTTCCTCTGAGATGTGTAATTCTTTTATTGAGATTTTTATGAATTTTGTTGTGTTTTGTTGGGATATTTTTTTCTAACATTGCTTTATTAAACGTTGAAATATTTAAGAAATATGTAATATTTGGACCAGATGTTGTGAATAATAGTAGATAAATGCTATTTTATTCTGTATTTTTAAAAGCTGTTCAGTATAAATAAAAGTTGACCTAGATGCAACTTTGCAACTGGACTGTCGTGGTCATTCTTCTGAGACAGAAGAACCAACATTAAGATGAACAGATGGCCAGCTCACTCCAAATGCTTGTTTAATAAGATGTAGTTGATGCTAGAGCGCAGAGACAGAGAGCTCTTTCTGTCTCTGCGCTACACTAGCAAACTCAACAGGTTTTCCTCCTTACAGGTACTGTAGACTGCAGTACCTTGGACAGCTACATCAGGAAAAGCCGGAAACTGGGTTTGCCTCTCTGTAACCCTTCGGTCCCCTTCTGAGTAATAACCTGGAGCTTTCCCCAGCATGCTGCATATCAATTTGATTAATGCAATTGATTCTTGCAGTCCATGCACTTAGGACTTCAACCAAGGGCCCCTACAGAATGAAGATGCCATTAGCCTTAAGGTTATTAAGTGCGGAACAAAATGTGTAGCAAAATAATTAAACACAAAGTCAGAGGTTGTCGTCCCTGCAAGCCTCCAGAAAAAATAAATAAATCCAGAAATTGAACTAGCTTCTTCATCCTATATTGAATGCCTTGCAGAGTAAAACAGTAGCTCACCTTGGTCTTGTACCACTATTTTTGAATGGATATATACAGTGGCAAATGCTATTCTTTATATAGCACCACCAGTGTGTGTGTGATGTTTTACAGGGTTCAAGAGGGCAAGTCCCTGCCCTGATGAGGTGGTGTCTGCCAAGTATTCTTTAGCTGTGGTCCCCCCAAAAAACAATAATCCTGGGGTTGCTGATCTAGTCAAATTAAGGGATTGATGAATTGTTGCCTGGTTCCCATAGCCCCAGCCTGTTTTTTCCTCCCTCTTCCCCCTCCATCTGTCATACCAGGGATGATGAAAGGCGCAGTCTGAAAATATCTAGGGGGGCACAGCCCCCAAATCTCTGTCCCAAGTAGTTTCCTGCAGTGCCTAATGAGTTGGGTGAGCCCTGGTTGTATTTCAAAGGACAATAAAGATGGAGTAAAAACTGGTATTTCAAGAGTGATGTGTTTGCAGGATGCTGAAACAGGCCTCGAATAGCTTTTTCTGAAACAAAGCCTGTCTGATCATGCTCTCTTCCGTTTGGCTTTCTCATGCCAAGTGGGAGGTAGCCCCACTCCCCACAAAAAACAAACAAACCAGTTGTTAGTCCAGGCACATGCCGTGTGTGAAATATTACCAGCTTCCCTCTCAGGGCTGTCTCCTGCGTGAGCTGGCTCTCTAGAAATAGTTCACAATATATAAAGACAGCTGACTTAACAGTTTCTCCTCCATTCCTGTTAGTCGTTTCAGTTCTTTGCCACCAAGGTCCCAACTTACGCAATAATTAGCTGGTGTGGGTATGTATGAATGTGTGTGAATGCTTAGGATCCGTTTTCAAGAGCCACAATAATTTAGCTATTCCCAGAGGAAATAGTTGGCTCTTTTGTTAATATTATGGGCAACAATACTGGATGCGACTTGCCCAAATTGAGTTCTAATGAATGTTTAATGTGACACCGTAGAAAAGAAGGCCAAACTAATGGCAATAAGAAAACAGCCCTTTGTGGAGGAAAATAAAACGGAGGGTTTTACTTCCTTGCAATTAGATACTTGATACGGAGGGCAATCAGCACATACATGAATGATTGTGAATACTGTGAATTATTTCAGCTCAGAGGCACCATGCAGGAGCTTCAAAAGTGTGCAGAATTAATGTCAACGCACCTCTTTTATCGGTGGATAAGCAAGCGTAACCTTGGGAAACCTTGTTTTTCTAACTTGGGTTTCCTGAAGTTCATTCTGTGGAAGACTAGCCGTGATTTTAAAAGGGTTCACTAAAGAACAATAGGAGAGGATGTTTTGCATGTTTAAGTCCATTAGTGGGAGAGGCTCTGCCAACATCTGTAGCTCCTGCTGTGATTATGAAAAGCAGCATTTTCCTTGTGGCTCCCCAGGTGTGGGACTCCTCTCTCCCCACCAGCACAATAGAGCCCCCCCCTACACTGTCTGTGTTCAGCATCAGATTACGATGCATGAATTCCACCAGGCTCATAGATCTGGCTGATGTTTTGTTAACCTGCTCCCCTTTTAATTAAAGTTGTGAATGCTTGGTTCATCCATGGAGCAACTGCGCTCCTCCACAGTCACCTGGGCACAGGAGGGCAGGTAACAGAGGAGGCAATCAGAATTGTAGAGTTGTGACTCAGGATCCTCCAACCCCCTGCAATGCAGGAATCACAGCTAAAGAATCCCGGACAGGTGACCATCCAAGGTCTGTTTAGAAACCTCCAGTGAAGGGAGTCTCCTCCACTGTTGAACGCCTCTTAGTGTCAGAAAGTTTTTCCTAATCTTTAGTGGAAATCTCCTTTCTTCTCGCTTGAATCCTTTGGTTTGGGTCCTCTCAGTCTTCTCAAAGGACAAACGGCCATTGGATTCCAATGGCAAGAAAGGAAATTGTAACCCAACATGAGGCAAAACTTTCTGTTGAACATTGGGATGGACTTTCTCGGAATCACAGAATCGGAGAGTCTGGAAGGGACCCAAAGGATCACCCAACCCCCCATGTGGCGGACTCTCCTTCGTTGTGGGTTTTCAAAGCAGATGATGATGATGATGATAATTTATTGTTTATACCCCGCCCATCTGGCTGGGTTTCCCCAGCCATTCTGGGCGGCTTCCAACAAAACACTAGAATACAATAACCTATTAAACATTAAAATCTTCCCTAAACAGGGCTGCCTTCAGATGTCTTCTAATAGTTTGGTAGTTATTTTTCTCTTTGACATCTGATGGGAGGGCGTTCAACAGGGTGGGTGCCACTACCGAGAAGGCCCTCTGCCTGGTTCCCTGTAACTTGGCTTCTCACAGTGAGGGAACCGCCAGAATGCCCTCGGCGCTGGACCTCAGTGTCCGGGCTGAACGATGGGGAGTGGAGACGCTCCTTCAGGTATACTGGACTGAGGCTGTTTAGGGCTTTAAAGGTCAGCACCAATACTTTGAATTGTGCTCGGAAACGTACTGGGAGCCAATGTAGGTCTTTCAAGATCGGTGTTATATGGTCTCGGTGGCCGCTCCCACTCACCAGTCTAGCTGCCGCATTCTGGATTAGTTGTAGTTTCCGGGTCACCTTCAAAGGTAGCCCCACAGAGAGCGCATGGCAGTAGTCCAAGCGAGAGATAACCAGAGCATGCACCACTCTGGGGAGATAAGTCCTTGCTTGGGGATTCTGGAGCTGCAATGCAGGGAGGGGGTGGACTAGAAGACCCCTGGGGGTCCCTAACCAACACTACGGTCCATTTGGCTGACCTGGCTTCTCTTGCTCCAAAAGGGGCAGCAGGTTTGTGGAGGTCCGAGGCTAGCAAAACCCTGCCAACCCTGGAGGGACCCCCAGAGGCCGGGACCCCCAGCACCCCTCCAGCCCAGCGAGGGGCCGGCAGGGCTCCGCTCGATAGCATTGTCTGGCCGGGCTCAGCCCCCCCCAGCCCCCCAGCAGCGGGAGGAGCCTCTAATGAGCCGGCGATTGGCTGGGCGGCGGCGGGGAGGGGGCGCCCGAGAGAGAGGCCGCCCGGCCGGCGGGGGCGGGGACTCCTCCCCCGGCAGCTGCGAGGAGGGGATCCGGGCGGCGGCTGCCGTCGTCTGCTGCCTGCGAGGACGCCCAGCCGCGGGATCGGGGCCCGGGGAGGGGCGCTCCCGGTAAGTTGCAGCCGGACCTCGCCTGGTGGAGGGAGGGGGCGCAACAAAGACGCACGCGCACCCCCCCCGGGGGCCCGAAAGACTCTCCGCATCTTTCGACGGCCGGACAGGAACAGAACCCACGAGATGCATGGGGGCGGGGGGGGGTGATGCTGCCTGGGGACAATCGGCCGAGTTTGGAAGGAACCCCCACCCCGGAAGAAGCCCCTTTAGATTCGGGCCAACTGGGAAGGCGGCTGCTCTCCCTGCGCCCTTCTTGGAGTTGGGCGGGACTGGCGGGGGGGGGGGTGGATGCCCGGCGGAACCCCCAGGAACTCCGCTCCCCACCACTTATCCCTGACCTATCCGCTCATCCCCAACCGCTTTGCTTCCGAGTAAACCCGTCTGGGGACGACGGAGAGCCGACCTAGTGATCTGGAGCCCATCCTTCCCGGCGCGGGGCGCGGAGAAGAGGAGGGTCTCCTGCGCAAGCATCTGTTCAGACGGAGCAATGAATGAATGGGAATTGGGGGGAGGAGCGGGCCCTTTGTGGCTCCCATTCGTTGCACCGGGTGCTTGTGCAGGCAGGATCGGGACCAGGACGACTTTCTGACACTCTCTGGGAGGAGAGTGTAGTTAGTGGTTAAGACGAAGCAGTTTGTGCTGCTGGGGCGGGGTGGGACAGGCCGGACTCCTGGGTTCTCTCTTGAGCCCCGGGAGGCACTGGAGTGGGGTGAAAGAAGAGGATATTAATTAATTCAGGAAGGCCACCCCAGGGACTGGGAATTTGGGGAGGGGATTCCCTTACTCTAAGTGGGTGACTCCTCCCTCCCTCCCCATCGCTTTGTGTCTCTCTATTCATCCCTCCCCGTAATGGACTGTCGCTGCCTTTGTGGCTGGCTGTACCATCTCTGCCCCCCCCCACCCGGGTAATTTGTTATCTGCCACTGGGACTCAGATTCTCAGCTCCACAGAGGATGAGGAAGTGGGTTGGGTGGGGGAGGGGAGGGGCGGCTGAAAGAGGAAGAAAGTGGGGCTTGTGAGTTTTGCAAAGTGCTGCACTACGCATAGGGGTGAGTCTGTGTCTATTCCTGTTAACCATTAGCTTTTTTGGGGGGGTGGACTTTAGCCGGGTGGAAAGAGCTTGCATGTTACTCTTGTAGCTTGTACCCCAGACATGCCTCCTAAATGCACTGGATTGTAAATTTGGGTGTGTTCAAGATCGCTCTCCCCCCCCCCCTCACTTTGATATATTAAGTCCCGTTGCATCTGATGAAGTAGCTCTAGTCTCAATAAACGTCTACCAGTTTTTTTGTTAGTGCCAAAAGATTCTTCTCTTGCAATGGACTTAATTTCCATCTACAAACTTTTGCTTTGCTTCTCTTCTGCCTGCCTTTGAGACTCTCTCAAAGTCTTCTTCCCATTTTGCCCAGCTCTAGCAAATAACCTCCAGTATAACATTTAATGTTCAGCAAGATCTCTTCTGGAGCATCACATCTGCATATGTCTTAATCTGCTCTGTCCCTGAAGGCTAAGGATGGGTAATATTCAAAATAATAATATCCAGCTCTGGAATCAATGGCTTCCAAGTGCAGAAGAATCAGTTGCTGGCTGCCCCTTCTTCATTTCTTCCTCCACCAAGACTGTGTGAAAGAGGGGTGGAGCACTACATTCTTCCCTGATAGTTCATATGTGGTTTGTTCTCGGTTCTTAACTGACTCTGCAGGCGGCACTTTCTGCTCCAGCAGTTCTTCTGTGTTCAGTTTTGGTGGGCAGCATGAACAACATTTAATTCTCTGACTTTTTCTAGTGATCAGGTTGTTTTAGGAGTACTAAACATATGCATTCCTAGATTGTTCTAAAAGGACCCTAACAATCTTGATAGCTCTGCCATTAAGACTCAGGCCTTCTCGATTTTCATCTTGTCACTAAGCAGTTGGGTCAGAGAAGATGCCATTCAGTGGTAGAACACAATCTTTGCATGTAAAAGTTCCCAGGTTCAGTCCCCAGCAGCTCCAGTAAAGGTAAAGGGACCCCTGACCATTAGGTCCAGTCATTACCGACTCTGGGGTTGCGGCGCTCATCTCACTTTATTGGCCGAGGGAGCCGGCATACAGCTTCCGGGTCATGTGGCCAGCATGACTAAGCCGCTTCTGGCAAACCAGAGCAGCGCACGGAAACGCCGTTTACCTTCCCACCGGAGTGGTACCTATTTATCTACTTGCACTTGGACGTGCTTTCGAACTGCTAGGTTGGCAGGAGCAGGGACCGAGCAACGGGAGCTCACCCCGTTGCGGGGATTCGAACCGCTGACTTTCCGATCGGCAAGTCCTAGGCTCTGTGGTTTAACCCACAGTGCCACCCGCGTCCCCTAGCAGCTCCAGTAGGCCAAACCTAAACAGACCGGAGAGCCCCGCTTTGTTTAACAAGCCCCCCACCCCCAGAGGAGGACTCATGAACCCTGGAAACACACTTGGGTTACATGTACTCTGATCCACATCTGGGGACCTGCTTTGTACCATTTCATGGCTTTGCTGCTCTTGAATTCCATGGCAGGTGGGATAGAAATGTAATGAAATAAGCAAGGAATTGATGCTAAACTAAATTGTGCTACAAAATAAATTATTGCTGAATGCTGAAAATCTAGGAAAAAAGATTTCAGAAGAGTTAAACAGTGTCTGGAAAACCTTAATGAGGCTTAAGTGAACATGCTGCATTAAGCAGAGAGAGGCATTTTTTGTTCCAGGCTGGGCTCGTTTCCTAACTTTTTGGAAGGGGAGATACAAAAACCAAATGCTCAAGCTGATTAATTTCTTTATTAGTGTGCCAGAGGGTTCCGAGATTTGCCCATTTGCCTAGCACAAGTGAAAACTAGATCCAGGCAACCAGGCAAGGAAACTATTTATTTGCAAATTAGAAAAGGTTTGCCTTTGCCTTCAATGTTGTTGAAGTGCCCAGAAATTGCAATATATGCATATTTGAGCAGGCAGACTAATAATTAGTTTTGTTGGCTATGAATTCCACCTGGACAGGTGGAATTTATTTGCATAGGTGCACCTGGATGGTGCAGTGGCTTCTGGTGAGAGCTTGTGAGTTCCCACCGGAAGCCGCAGTCGCATGACCCCAGCAGTGGCAATGGGGGTGCCACCCCATGTGGGGTTCTGCAGCCTGAGGCAGCCACTTCAGTCTGCCTTATGGGCTGGCCGGCCGGCCCTGAGGCAGCCCAAAGTCTGGATTCACTTTTTAAGGCTGTGGAGAGCTATAGAACTACAGAGAGCAAGGGAACTGTTAGAAGAGAGGAAACAGGAGAGAGGGGCCCAAGTGGACCTTGGTGCCTGCAGACATAGAGATCTAATGGCTGGGTTAATTGAAACAGAAGGAAGAAAGATCAGTGGGCGAGTGCTGGGTGGGTTTCTAAGCCAAGGATTTGGGATTCTTGGCAGAAGGGTGAAGGGAACCGCAGCTGGCAAGAGGGAAGGCATTGCTTGTGGAGGAAAGTCCAGAGGCAGAGCCAAAGGGGGCGATTTCCAGAATTGTGAGGCTGCAGCACTTCTGACTTTAAGCAAAGAGCCCCGGGGAAAATTAAGCCACCAGGGCAGAAACTGTATCCTTCCTTGAAGGGTGGCAGTGTGTAGTTTTGTGTTTAAATTTGGCTAAAAAACAACTTTTAAGAGCCATAGGGAAACCATGGGCAAATCTGGCCAAGCCAAAGTATACTCAGTTCCCATTAATTTTAAGCCAAGTCAGCGGCTTTCCTGAGTGCCTAAGGCTGCTGCAACAGTAGGAGGAGGAAGAAGAAGAAGAAGAAGAAGAGTTTGGATTTGATATCCCGCCTTTCACTCCCTTTAAGGAGTCTCAAAGCGGCTAACATTCTCCTTTCCCTTCCTCCCCCACAACAAACACTCTGTGAGGTGAGTGAGGCTGAGAGACTTCAGAGAAGTGTGACCAGCCCAAGGTCACCCAGCAGCTGCATGTGGAGGAGCGGAGACGTGAACCCGGTTCACCAGATTACGAGTCTATCGCTCTTAACCACTACACCACACTGGCTCTCTTCCCCTGTCGAGCAAAGCAAGACTTGAATGGCACTTGGCAATGTGGCTTTCCATAAAATGTAGAATCGGAAGTTTCCTATCCCTGTTTGAAGAATATTATTGGGGTTTCATAAAATTACATCCTATTTTTATTATTGTACTCTGCCCTGGAATCCACTGGATTTAATTAAAGCAATTAAATAAAAGTCACCATGCAAAATAGGGGGAAATGTGTGCGTGGCTAATCTGCATAATTTGCCTAAGCTGCAAAAAGTTGTCTCCAGCTGAGATGGAGGCGGTTGCTGGAAGCCACAGGTGGAGAGAAGCCTCTTGTGCTCACATCCTGTTTGCTGGTTTCCCATGGACATCTGGTTGGCCACTGTGAGAACGGGATGCTGGACTAGATGGACCATTGGCCGGATCCAGCAGAAGGACTGTTCTTAGGTTCTTGCTTGCACTTTCAGAAGGAACCCTTGAAATTTTATGCAAGATCCGCTGCTGGGGTCTTCCAGCGCTGACATGCTGTTGCTTCATTAAGAGCGTGTTAGAGAGGCTGGCTTGCTGAGTTGCATCTGGGCTGGATTTAAGTCCTTTATTTATTTATTTATTTATTTATTTTAAATTCTTTTTATTGATTTTCACTTAAATAACCAAATAACCAAAAAGAAAAACGAAACACGAAGAAAAAACAAACAGTTACAACCATTACATAGCAACCATTTCCCATTACATTTCTTTGTCTTCTCATTTATCTCTTTATATCTTTAAATACTTAAATCGCTTAAGTATTTAAATACTTAAATCGTTTAAGGATTTAAGTCCTTGCTGCAGATTGCCACAGACCTCCCAGTCAGAAGCAGCAAAAAGTTGGGGGAGGCATGTGAGGGTGGGTTCACCTCAAGGCTTCGCTTATCTGAAAGAAGCTGCAGCTCTCAGGCCAGCAAATATGATGGATACCAGTCCAGATCAACCAGAAACCTGCTTCCTTTC